ATGATGGAGAAATGGGGAATCTCTCAAATGAGTACACTTTTGGCAGGATCCCCAAAAGTATTGAGTCAGAAGTTCAACAGTCATCTGGATAAAGTTATCAACTTGATTACTGCCGAAACAATAATTTCCATCCTCGCACCACACTTGATCAGTAGAGCAGAAAGGCAACTTCGTGCGTCTTTTTTGTCCAGAATGAATCGTGAAGATCTCTGGCAAAGTTTGAAGTATTTTTTCCCTCCTGGAGTTCCCTTGAATACCCTCGCCCCGTCGTCCGGTTGTCTTTAGTCACGTCGCGGAGCCAGAATTACAGTAACCAATAGATATAATTTTTCTTACTTTTAAATGGTTGGTTCTCATTGGTCTTTGTTTACTAAACACTGTTTCTCTTGCTAGAACTAGATGATTTATCAATTCCCAAGATTTGATTGACTGTTCCATAAACTTTTTGTTGACTCGTTCGATTCTTATTGTTTCGTGAATGGGTAGGAATGAGATCACTCTCTTCAACACTTTTTCTGGTATCGCTCCCAAATTGAATAACTGTTCGGAACCAGAAGCGAGTGATTGAGTAGAAGAAGCTCTCGAAAGAGGGGTGTCTTCCCTGCTTCCAACGTCATCACTCAACACCAAACCTTTCCCTCCTCGCTTCTTCGAAACATACTGAAAAATATTACGAGTTAATGCATCTTCAAAGATTTCAACTCACGGCAGACACCACCATTAATTGATCATAAAACTTCAGCTCTTCTGGGCTTGCATTCTTGGCACGTTCTGCATGTTCCGCTTTTCTGTAATTAATGTCTTGCTATTGCTGACAAGGATTGGAATCTTACTTGAACGTTATGGTCGCAGTCCCACAGTTTTTCGAATGTTTTGGAAGAGTTCCAAATATGGACGTCTTCTTTTCTTCTCTCGGCAGAATGCAGCTGGTAACCTGAAACCAGAGTTAAATATCATTTTTTGAGATGTGACATTTAAAACTGACTTTTCCATATTGCGAGAAAAATGACTGAAGTTGCGATTGAGTGACACGAGAAGAGATATTGGAGACAACTATTTTCCGATCATCTCTAGAAGTGTGTTGGAACGCAATTGATGCATCAAAATCTGAAAAGTTGATCATACTACAGTCAAATTTCAAAATGGAGAGTACTCACCGTCCGTCTCTCCTCCATCGAAAGCTTCTCCGTCAGCTAAGAGCATCGGCAAAAGACGACGATATTTCATGAATTCGGCAGCAGAGTGAGACCATGTTCGCCTGAAATTCATTTTTAGTCTACTTCCTGCGCATTTTCATTTCGAATACCTCAATTTCCCAATGCTAAAAAATCGAGCTCTCGTTACAAAAGATTGAAAGGCTTCAGTCATATCATGTAATCCTCGACTCTCTAAATTCTGTCCATGTAGACGTCGGAGTGCTTTGAACATGCTCTAAACAATATTATTTAGTTACTTTGGAACCGTAAAAATATAATCATGTGAGTGAGAGTGTTCCAAATGGGTCTCGACTATTTTCTTATCACATTAACGGTTTTTTTTTTCGGTAGACAGAAAACCGAATTTTATTCTCTCACCTGTTGTGATTTAGCACTGGTGGCGCTGCCCAAATTTGAGGTGAAACTTCGATTGAAATCCATTTTCAGGTTTAATTCTTCACTGAAAGTAAAAACATGTTATTTATTTTGATCGATTTTGCATTGAGTCGCCCCTCCGCTGTTCGGCGTGGGGTGTCGCATGTTTACCAAAAAGTAGGAAAAGAGATCATGCAATGAAGAGAGACACAGAAACACAACAAATAACAATTCCGGATAATTAGAGAAGATGACTGAATTTTCATTCTTTTTTGTATTTAATCGAATTTATCGACAAAATGAAAACTTTAATGTTTTTCGTTCAGAATTTTGAATGAAATCTAGAATTCTTATAATATAGATGAAAACCGAAACTATAAATTATGAGTGTATCAATCAATGCAACGAAATAATTATGTAATCACTTGAAATTTCACTATTTACGACGATAAATTTGGAAATTTAACAGGCGAAAAAAGTAAAGCCGAAATGAAGAAAAAGCTCAACTCTATGCGGGGTGGTTGCAAAAATCCACTGCCGCACATTGCATTTCGTGGTCACGCCCATTGACTGATATTTCGAAAAATACACCGTAATCTGAATAATTTTTCGGTTCTTTTTCAACAATTTTCTGAAAAAAAATTCAGATTCACTTCTTAATCTGATATTTCGTTTCAGGATGGATCAACTTGAGCACCTCTCCCTCGTGAGCAAAGTTCTCGGGGAACTTGAAAACCATTTCGGAGTTGCTGACAAAGATGTCGCCGAGTTTGTAATTCAAATGGCACAGGAAAATTCTACCTTTGATAAATTCAAAAAGGAGCTTGAAAAGCAAGGACTAGCAGATCAGGTATGTTCTATTTTTCCTCTTTCTTTGTCTGTGAATATTTACAAAAATTTCCATGAGGTCCTCCTTCTATGAATAAAGTTGGACAATGCTAATTCGGCACTCAGTTGTTGATTTAACTATAAGAGTGATTATGAGATATGCATGAACTGTCTTTTTTGTATTATCCCTAAAAATCAAAATTATTTCAGTTCGATGATTCGCTCACAGCTACTATACTTCGTATTGTTCAACACATGACAGCTTCTAAGAAGAAAAGCAAAAAAGCCGGGGATTCCAAAGAGGACGTTAAAGATTCTCATAAAATCACGCTGATTTCGGATGCGAAAGAAGAAATTAAAGCAAGACTACCTGCTTTGGCTATGGCGAACATAACAATAGAAAAAGAAGATAGTGGGAACGATTTGATGGCACAATTGGAAATGATGGAAGGAAAATATGAGAAAGAGGTGAGTTGTTAATAGATTCTAAATATTTCGAAAACTGCCAGAAACTACCTCATTTTACAGAAGAATCGTGACAAAGGTACATCAGAGAAGCGGAATAGATCGAGAAGTCAGTCTACGAGCCGTGATCGTAAACGAAGAAGGAGTAGTAGCCGGGATCGAGACCGAGGTCATCGACGACGAAGCAGAAGCAGGGAACATAGAAGGGATCGCGATAGAAGAGACAGAGATAGAAGCCGAGAAGATCGACGAAGAGGTGATAGAGACAGACGAGACGGGGATAGAGACAGGGATCGTCGTGACAGAAGAGAAGATGGAAGAAGCTCCAGAAAGCTAGAAGTAGCAGAAGTCGGTAAAATTTACGATGGACGAGTCAACAGTATTCAGTCGTTCGGAGCCTTCATTACACTCGAAGGATTCCGTCAGAAGCAGGAAGGACTGGTCCATATCTCACAGATAAAGAACGAACGTGTCCAATCGGTTGCTGATGTTCTGAAAAGAGGCCAGGCTGTGAAAGTGAAAGTGAACAAAATTGAAAACGGTAAAACATCGTTCACGATGAAAGAAGTAGATCAGCAAACTGGAGAAGATCTCAATCCGAAAGAGACTGATTTGGATCCGGATGCCATCGGTGTAAGACCACGAACTCCGCCAGCTCATACGTCTTCTTGGATGAATCCAGAATCTTCTTCAAGTGCAGGACCATCCACTTCAATGGGAGGTGGAAAAACAAGAGTAAGAATTTCCACACCGGAAAGATGGGAGTTACGGCAAATGCAAGGAGCGGGAGTACTAACAGCTACAGACATGCCAGACTTTGACGAAGAAATGGGAGTGCTGAAAAATTTCGATGGTAAGACGAAAATTTATATTCAATATTTAAAAATATTTTTTTTAGATGAAAGCGATGGTGAAGACATCGAAATCGAGCTTGTCGAAGAAGAACCGGACTTTTTGCGTGGCTACGGAAAAGGAGGCGCTGAGATAGAACCAGTTAAAGTTGTCAAAAATCCAGATGGATCGCTGGCTCAGGCGGCGTTGATGCAAGGAGCGTTGTCGAAAGAACGAAAAGAAACCAAGATTCAAGCACAACGAGAAAGAGATATGGACAATCAGAAGGGATTCAGTTCAAATGCTCGTATTCTGGATCCAATGTCTGGGAATCAGGCATCCGCCTGGACTGCTGACGAATCGAAAGATCGAAACAACAAGATGAAAGAGATGCCTGAATGGTTGAAGCATGTTACTGCTGGTGGAAAAGCTACATATGGAAAGAGAACGAATTTGAGTATGATTGAGCAGAGAGAAAGTCTACCAATCTTTGCTCTGAAAAAAAAGTTGATTGAAGCAATTATTGACAACCAAATTCTCGTCGTTGTTGGAGAAACTGGTTCCGGAAAAACGACTCAGATGACGCAGTACGCTATCGAAGCAGGTCTGGGGAGACGTGGGAAAATCGGATGCACACAACCACGTCGTGTAGCTGCAATGTCTGTGGCAAAGCGTGTGGCAGAAGAGTACGGATGCAAACTTGGATCAGATGTGGGTTACACTATTCGTTTCGAAGATTGCACCAGTCAAGACACAGTTATCAAATACATGACGGACGGAATGTTGCTCAGAGAATGTCTTATCGATCCAGATCTATCAGGATATTCATTGATTATGCTTGACGAAGCTCACGAACGTACAATTCACACTGATGTTCTGTTTGGTCTGCTGAAAGCTGCTGCTAGAAAACGTCCGGAGCTAAAACTGATTATCACTAGTGCTACTCTAGATTCTGTGAAATTCTCCGAGTACTTCTTGGAAGCACCCATTTTCACTATTCCTGGAAGAACTTTCCCTGTTGAAATCTTGTATACAAGAGAACCAGAGTCAGACTATCTCGAAGCCGCCCATATCACTGTGATGCAGATTCATCTCACCGAACCGCCTGGTGACATTTTAGTGTTTTTGACTGGTCAAGAAGAAATCGATACTTCCTGTGAAGTGTTGTACGAACGGATGAAGTCAATGGGACCGGATGTTCCTGAACTGATTATTCTTCCAGTTTACGGAGCTCTTCCTAGTGAAATGCAAACACGAATCTTTGAACCGGCTCCAGCAGGAAAACGTAAAGTGGTCATTGCAACCAACATCGCCGAAACATCACTTACCATCGACGGTATCTTTTACGTCGTTGATCCTGGATTTGTGAAACAGAAGATTTATAATCCAAAGAGTGGTATGGATTCACTGGTAAAATTTTTTATAATAAAGGCTTTATTCAAACTATTCGTTTTCAGGTTGTAACACCGATTTCTCAAGCTGCTGCCAAACAACGATCAGGTCGTGCCGGACGTACCGGACCAGGAAAATGCTACCGTCTTTATACCGAGAGAGCGTTCCGTGATGAAATGCTGCCGACTCCAGTTCCTGAAATTCAGCGAACAAATCTTGCTTCAACGCTTCTGCAACTCAAAGCAATGGGAATCAATAATCTGATTGATTTTGATTTCATGGATGCTCCGCCACTTGATTCAATGATTACCGCTCTCAACACTCTGCACACACTTTCTGCACTTGATGGTGATGGTCTTCTAACTAAACTTGGACGTCGAATGGCCGAGTTCCCCTTGGAACCATCTCTTGCCAAGTTGCTCATTATGTCCGTCGATCTGGGATGCTCGGAAGAAGTTCTCACAATTGTTGCCATGCTCAACGTTCAGAACATCTTCTATCGACCGAAGGAAAAACAAGATCATGCTGATCAGAAAAAGGCAAAGTTCCATCAACCTGAAGGAGATCATCTGACCTTGCTGGCTGTTTACAATTCTTGGAAAAATCATCACTTCTCTCAACCGTGGTGTTTTGAGAACTTTATTCAAGTGAGAAGTATGAAGAGAGCTCAGGACATTCGAAAACAGTTGCTCGGAATCATGGATCGTCACAAACTGTTAATGGTCAGTTGTGGTAGAGATGTGTCACGAGTTCAGAAGGCCATTTGTTCTGGATTCTTCCGGAATGCGGCCAAACGTGATCCGCAAGAAGGATACCGAACGTTGACAGACGGACAAAATGTCTACATTCATCCATCGTCGGCGTGCTTCCAACATCAACCGGAATGGGTTGTCTATCACGAGCTGGTCATGACAACGAAAGAATATATGAGAGAGGTAAGTTTGAAAATACATACATAAAACTGAATATTATAAATTGAAATATGTTTCAGGTGACTGCAATCGATCCAAAATGGCTTGTAGAGTTTGCACCATCTTTCTTCAAAATCGGCGATTCTACGAAGCTCTCAACATTCAAGCGGAACCAGAAAATCGATCCGTTGTTCGACAAGTATGCGGATCCGAATGCCTGGCGTATCACTCGAGTCAAAAAGCGAATATACAACCCCAACAAATAAGGGACTTCCTTTTTTATATTTGTGTCTCATTTTCAGTTATTCATTTTTCCGACTTTTGATGAGTTTTCTCTCCATATTACGAGTACAACTTTTGTTATATAAATAACTTCATTCATTCTCGATTTTCAAAGTATACAAAAATCAAAAATCTTTCTTAAATAGGAAGCATTCCGCAAATCATTCCAAAGTTCCAGTAGACTCTGTTCGCTGGGTCGTTTGGAGCAACAGTCATGTTACAGTAGATGTCATTCAATAGCTTAGAACGATTTGGTCTGTTGTTCCAGATTGCAAACTGAATGCATTCCTCAATGTCACTGAAACAAATACATGAAATATTTTTCTGTGCGGAACAGTTCCATGGAACTCACAAAGTCCAATGATGATGGTTTGGTTCGGTCTCTGCCCAGATGGTCCATGCATAGCTTGGATCAGTGTGCTTATCTCTTAAAACGAATGACTTGGTTCCGCTGCACGCGTCGCTTTCCAAAATAGCCTTATCCTTGGATTTACACTCCGAAATGAGTCTTCCGTCCATTCCAACAGACCCAAGGAGCCCCTGCCCCATTGCTGTGAGTTTTTCGGTCCATGCGGTGGCGAAATACTCTCGTTCGGCATCGTTTTCAAACATTGTTGGGACGGCTGAAGAATGCATTGCAGAGCAGAGAGCATCTCCATCGGAAATTTTGATTGCAGCGTCGGTGTTAGTCATTCCCATGCACCAAACCGAAGTTTGGGAGTTGGCCTCACTTGGAACTCTTTCGAAAGCTTTGAAACCTTCTGGACACGTTTTGGCTGGTGTTGTTGGGACTGGCGTCGTTGGAGTTGTCGGAGCTTGAGACGTCTTGCAGTTATCATGTCCACCATGATAAGATGATGGAGGACGATGACCACCACCTCCGTATCCTGAGATAGTTTGTGAGAATGAATAGAACCAAGAAATTCAGATAAGAATTTTCATTATTAATTTTCATTACATTATAACTTTCTTTTCCTCAAAGTTTTGTTTTCCGTCGAAAAAAAAACTTCCGGAAAATGTTAACTTTCCGGGATACGGTAGTTTGCGTGCTGGGTTCTTTGGTCACGGAATCTTTTAGGTTACTGTAGTGTAGATTGTTAACAACCCAAATCCTCACCTGGTCTGAAAATGGCCTCAGTGGAAAACGTTAGGAAGGTAAGGGCTATGAGAATGGAGCGCATGCTGGATTACAACATTTCCGGAATATTCTTCGCTTTTATACGAAAACGATTTCAGGTTGGAAACGGGGTTATCAAATACAGTTACAGTTTATTGTTCCGAAATGTCAACTGCGGGGTTTTAGTGTTTTTCGTGTTCCAAGAGAGAAAAAAATGTTGCAAGAGTCATGCGAGAGGATTGCTGCAAACGAGGAATTCAGTGAAGCAAAGAGGAAAGATCGGAAGATCGTAGCATACTTTTCGAACCTTTCCAAAAAATCAGTCCTTTCAAATTTTCTCGGACTATGAGAATATCAGAAAGAATTAGATATGAGCACAATGAAAATTTTGAAAGCCCAGAAGAAAGGAACGAACTCTTAACAAAATGAAGAGGATTACTGTAGAGGAAAAATATTCGAAAATGAAAAGGACTACTGTAGGGAAAAATATTCCAGATCGAAATGAATTACTATGGACAAAAACATTCGGAATTGAAAATGATAACTGTAGGGAAGCTATTCCAAATTTAAAAAATATTACTGTAGAGAAAAGTATCCGAAAATGAAAAAGGTAGGAAAAACATTCGAATTTGAAAAGGATTACTGTAGGGGAAATTCTTAAAGGGCACAATTATTGGCTCTGGTCCAGTTGAGAGAACCCAAATGTGTTCTGGAAATGGCCAAATGACCAAAACGAAATGCGTTCTGAAGAAAAAAAATCAATACTTTAAAAAGTTGAAAACTTTTTAAAATTTAGATCTTAGAGAATTTAGAAAAAATAATAACAAGATCTTTTTAAAACAAGATACGCAATTATGCATTAATATTTCTACGTCATCATTTTCGTGTATACAAAGCCTGATACGGGTCCTCTAACTATTTCCAGATCTCAAATTGGGTCCTTTCAAAAGGATCAGAAATAATAGACTGTAGACTTCCGATGGTGCAGACGTAGCTCCATGTGACCCGCTAGGCTATTACATAAGGTCGTGCCCTCGGGAGAGGGCGCGACAGGTGTTCTATAAGAATTCGTGCCCGTAAATCATTGAACCTCTGACGTTGTACCCAAAATCCCTTTTTGTACCATAAATTAGTTGTGTCCCCTTGTGCCCCCAAAATTGTGCCCCAAATTTCAAAGAGAATTCCAACTTTCAAGTCATAAAATCGTCTGTTGTAATTTCGGAATTGTGAACAAAGCGAGCAAACTATAGAGCAAACAAAAAACAACAATAATAAAGAAAACCGTTTACTTTGAAAATTGCTTTCCGAGTTCAATAAGTTTTCCTTATGGGTTGTACTCGATTGGGAGGTTCTTGCGACGAACCATACCGTCTCCCTGGAACCACTCGCGGCGGAATTGCTTGGCAGCTCCGTCTGGGGTGTTGGTCCACTCGACGGTGATACGGTCGTTGTTGGTGTCCTGAAAAATAGAAAATATTCAGAAGAATTCCTTTTGAATTCCGAATCCTTACCTCTTGTCCGTAAGCGAAAGCATCGCAAGAGACGGCGAGAAGGACAGCCTCCTTTGGGTCAAGAACTCCACATGGTGGGTCGACGCCAAGACGCTTCATGTTGGTGGTCTTGATACCGTATCCGATACGACGGGCAGACGAGTTGATCACCTTGATGTGGTAGGTGTGCTTGTCGTCGAATGGAGCATTGAAGACGATCTTGGCGTTTGGTTGGGTTTGGATGTCTCCTGGTGGGACGGATTGAGCCATGGCGATGATTTGATGGAGTGTGTAGTACTCGATGAAGATTCTACTGGATTCACTTCCCTTTTATAGCGCTTTCTTATCTCTGCTCCAGATCTTTCCCCAAGATCTCTTAAACTGATGAGAAAAAGAGCTGGAAGTTCACGTAGATACTGTAACTAATTTTCTGTCCCCACGGAGATGTTTTCAAGTCAACGTTTGAGAATGTGAGCTAACTAAAGAAATTTACGTCGAGCAAGTTCATTATAGAACGAAAACGATAACAACAGTAACAATAATAACAAAAATGTACAAAAATTAACAACGGTTACAATGTGAATGTATATTAGATCACTCTTTCATAGATTCGAGTAGCAGTGACGTCGGTTTGCAAATCGTGATAAACAATATGAAGTTTTCCACCCAAAATGAATTTGTAGTATTTTTTAATAACTCTTTGATCCAATTTGTTCTTGAAGACAATAACCAAATCATCATTTTCAAAACTCCAAGTTTCACTGTGATCCGAATATTCTAATTGCTTTTTTAGTGGTACATTTGTTTCTCTTCCAGTATTTTTCAGTTTTTCGCTTGGAATGAGTTCCCAAGAGATTTGCCCAATCTTCATGTTATAGGTCAGCTGTCCTATAAGCCAGCGACTTTTTCTGCCTGGCTTTTCTGAATTGAAGAAATGAGGATAATCAGTTTGTGATGTAGGCTTCCAGGTTCCAACAATTCCCTCACTGACTGGTGTAACATTCTGGAAAAAATACTATCAGAAATTGAACATAAAATGATTATCAAACTTCTTCTTCTTCTTCTTCCTTTTCGGGATCTTCCTCAGGATTTTCGTTGGATTCGTCGGGTTTTTTTGTATCCGAAACATTCATTTCTATTCGAGTGATTGCAGTTTTTGAATCTGAAAATTGGAAAAGGGAGGTATACAAATATATAACATTCGCAATTTTCAGGTATTAGTACTGGTAAAATTTAAGACATTGACATCAATTAAATTTTCAAATAATTAGGCTTGGAGAGATTATGGGGTTATGCATGATTTGTTTTTTAAATACAAAAAATACGAAAAAATACATGAAATACATTTTTTCGCATTCATGCATTAATTTTCTGTGTTTAAAAATTCCAAAAAAATACATTTTTTATGTCATGAGTAACCCCATTACTCTTTGAAGTATAGGCCCCCACTTTGTACTGGTGGCGGGTCATACTTTAATCAACCAATTAAACTTCAGCCCCCCACACCTCAGTAGAGCCCCCCACCCATTTTTGCACTGGTGGGGGGCTCTACTATAGTTGTTTATAAGGTGGGGGGTCATATTGAGGTGGGGGAGGGGGCTATATTTGAATTATACCAATTCCAAAAAAATACATTTTTTATGTCATGAGTAACCCCATTACTCTTTGATAAAAAAACATACTTGTAAAATTCCGGGCCGGCCTGCCAAAGCCCGGGCCCGGCCCGGGCCTGAGGAAATTTTCAAGGCCCGGGCCCGGTAGCAAAAATTTTGTCATTTTGAGCCAAATTTTGAGCTCAATTTTTGATCGGAAAAAATCACATAAGGGTCCCCCTTATGAGTTTTTTGAAATTTTCCAAACTTGTGGAATGACAGGTCCGCCGGGCCGGGCCTCCGAAATTCGGGAAAAAGCCCGGCCCGGCCCGTTACAAGTATGATAAAAAATAAAATTAGAGTGAGCAAGACCGTAGTCGCTACGAGCCTGTGAATTTTCTTTCAAATTTGGCGTGTACCTTTAATTTCGATACTGTAAACAGCTTCTGAACCGAGCATAAAGCTGAACAGATAAAATATTTTATTTTTTAAAATGTTGGAAACCGTTTTCTGAACAAAAAAAAGCAAGAGTTTTATAAAACAAGTACATTTATTACTATGTCTAAGCAATTCTTTTATAAATTCTAATACATGATATTTCTTGACTAGTTTTCGTTAAATTGTACATTTGAGTAAATGACGATAGAACTCTCATATATTGATCCTCTTCTTGTATACTTCGTTCGATAGTCACTTGGTCGTCATCATCGAATAGCAACACCGTCTTCAACACTCCATCTTTGAATGATGTGAATGCTGTCAATTCAGGATCAGCTATAATTTCTGGTTCTGGCGGGAGAATCAAATTGGTTCCATTCCATGTGAATTCTAAATTTGCCATGAATTCATCTTGCGGTAAACGACGGAGCTTCATGTATCTCATTGTGTCTCCGGCTGAAATCAGCTTCCACGTCCCCGAGAATCTTCTTTCGCCAGAAATTGGTTCGGGCTGAAAACAAATAAATCTTTTGAGGAATTTCCTTGCCACAGTGTCACCTAATTTCTATGTTTTTCAATTACTTCCTCGAGATTTGGTTTGCTATTCAAAGATTTTGTTTCAGACTTCTTCAATAGTACGCTTCTTATCTTTCCAATCATTTTCTTGTCTTCATCGTGTTCTTTCTGTTGTTTCGCTTTCAAATTCTCGTGGTCTTCTCGCAATTGATTTAGTTGTTCTTGTCAATTGTTATTTGTTGAGCATTCAGTACAATTCTGAAATTTCTGAAATTCTCAATTTGTTCGAGAAAAAAATCAAAAATTTCCCTCCACTCGCTTCGTGGCGAAAGTAGGAAAACATTTAAAAGGATGCGCCTTTGAGGTACGGTAAGAAACAAACTCGAAATTCGTATTTATTGCAATAAAAACTTTCAGAATCAGTCTGGAAAAGATATTCTGTTCAAATGAAATGCTTATGATGAAAAATCTTATGTTAAATGAATTATTAATTTGATACCAGCGTTGTGGAAGAGGAACGCCGAAGGTCGTGACCGAAGGTTCCGCAACGAAAACTACCGTAACCTAAAAATACTTTTAATTCATCTTCTCGATTTTCACAGCTTTTCGTAGAGTTTCCCGTCATTTCATTTTCAGATTCTGAAAAAGTGAACTGAAAACGCCGAAAATCGAGATAATTAAGCCTTTTACAACGACCGTCGAAGTTCCTCTTTCACAGCTTCATTTTTTGACCACATTGATAACCAGAATATTGAAAACCGGAATATGTTTTCATAATCAGGGTTACTGTAGTTTATCCAAATTGGATAAGGAGACCAAATGATTTTTATGATTTCGGTATCCGTCGTCTTGAATTGTTGCAATTACAATTTGCGATGAAAATAATCACTGCTTTTAACGATTGTACATCATGATCCCTCAACATTTCCTAGACTGCACTGCATGCCAATTGGTTATCCATTCACAAAGACCCCTCTTCTTCCATCAAACAATAGCACAACGTCTCCCAAATAACACCTCCTCATCCACCGTACTCTCGTAGTCTCGAGAGAACATCTTTGCTCTCGTTGCATCGATCGATACGTGTCTCTCTTCTTCTGCCGTTGTCCACTTCACCAGTCTTTTGTGTGTCTGAAGATGTCGGTCGTTTCTGCTTTCGACGAAAATATTGATTATGATTCAAGCTTCGAAGTTGTCGAAGATGAACAGTTGAAATCCGAAAGTTTCCAATTTGTGATAACGAAAGGAGGAGAAACAAACACAATTAACATTGAATCAGCTGAGGTAAGGTTTACTTTTATTTTTAATTCCAGGTTTTAAGATTTATAAAATGAATGTTCCAATATTTAGAAACATAATTTAGAACTTATTTTGAACATATTTATTGAAGGACTCCGCCCCAATCCTCACTTCCATTATCGGCAAATGGAAACCAATTTCCTCTGATAACCTCGAAGACTACTTCAAAAGGAACAACATGACAGAACTCAACGAATTGGCCTGGCAACATGGAATCGTCTGCTACGAACTAAAAGGAGGACTTCTTCATGTCCACACAGAACTTCTCAATAAGAAGCTGAGTGCATCTGTCTTCAAATTGAATGATACAGTTAACAGTGGACACAATTCTGTGGTTTCTCTTGTGGAGAATAACTCTTTGAACACTGTTTGCACCCATCCATCTGAAGACGGAAAAGAGTTATGGAAGGTGGAGAGATTCATCAAGAACGGAAAATTAGTCATCATTAATCAGCATGGTGGATTCAAATGCGAGAGAACTTATCAACAGGTCTAATTTAATCAACTGGGTCTTCATTTGTTTGGAACTTTTGTTTTCTGAAAACTTGAATGAAGTATTATAATTTGAACCCCGCGTCTAGAAGATACATATATTTTTTAAACCATACTTGTAAACCGGGCCCTGCCATAGTTTCTTTTAGAATCAAACAATTGTACCAATTAAATTATTGTCTATTCAAAATAATCGCGCGAGTGAATGAGTGAAAATGTCTGCGTCTCTACAGCGCCTCTACAGGGTTGGAGACTCTCTACACGTTTTATTACTCGTTCACCCGCGCGATTATTTTGAATAGACAATAAATATGATAAAACTTGACAAGTACTACAGAATGATGTTGTACAAAAACTGTACCCTGCCTTTGAACAAAGTTGCAATCCATAAAGCTGGGACCGCATAGCTCAGACGGTTTTTGGATTATAACTTTGTTCCTATACAAGACACAGTTCTCCAAATAATATCATTTTGTAGTACTCGTCAAGTTCTATCATATCCTTTTCAATGGGCGCAAAGAAAACATTGCTACTTGAAGAAATATAGTCCACCGGGCCCCGACGTACAAGTATGTTTTAATTATCATCCTTCTATTCAAATATAACCAATTATTCCATCCAGGTGGCTCATTTGCTTGGATTAGAGTTATCCCCCAACGCAAATGCGAAAATTATAAGCGCCCACAAATAATTTCCTCCCGTGTTCGGTTTCGGCTTAGGCAAGGCACTAATTAAAAATGTTGTGTAGTCTGAAGACATTCTAACTCAAGGAAACGCCGTTCTCACATTTATTATTCAGCTCTCAGTGATGACCTTTCACGAAGAGATATATTGGGAAAAGAAAGAACAGTGTCAGATGATTTGTGTACAGATTAAACAAAAAAGAGAAAAAGAGGAACGGAGAAGAAGAAGAATATTCTCGAGTAGCAGTAGTACCTCTTTGTTCTTCTTTTACATTGTGATATTCGTTTCTGTATTGTAAAGCTACTTTTTACCTAATGGATTCAAGTTTTGAATGGATTGATGGTCCAGCAGAGCATCAAATGGTTTCTGAATTTAAAATCATTCAAAGGAATTTGGGAGCTTCCAAAATTCCAATAAGCTCCAGAAAAAACTATTTTCAATTGAAAGTTTATTTTCAGAATCCATCTATTCAAGATGGAATAAACGGAGAATGGAAACTTTTGAGCTCCTCCAACATCAATGCATTTCTTGATTCCCAACCAGATATTAATTGGAAAGAAGCTAGAAGAATCCATTATTCAAACATTTGTTTCCGTCTCAAAGGAAAAATATTGAAAACATGTAATTTTTATAATGGCAGGAAAAATTTGGATCTTCATTTTCTACCTTTTCCAAATAGAGATGGAATTCAATTTTTGCTAGAAGACAATAAACTGATCAGCACTCAATGTGGACCTGATGGAACGATTTTTTCAAAAATGACGAGAAAAATCCAGAATAATGGAAATCTAAGAATCGTTTGGGAGAGGAATGGAGCAATCTGTGAGAGGGTTTATGAAAAGGTAAACTTCTTGTCTGTCTTTTTAAAGTTTCTTTTTTCAAGTTTCAACCTTTTTAGCTTCCCAACTGGTCATCCACCGTGGATCCATTCGAAAATTTCTACTAAATTCTTCTATTTTTGTTTACTCCCGTTTCCCATTCCTAATAAATATCCATCTGCACAAATCTCCCCCATGCGTGCGTTCCTCAAATTAATCCGTCTCCTTTTTCTCTGCCATTCCTATTGCCACCCAGCCCATTCGCATGCCAAACGAACGGGTGAATGTAGGTTAGAACTAATAACCAGCTTAAAGAAATAGCGCGTGGCCTGAAGAGGTGCGAGACAAAACGAACAGATGCTCTCGTTCCGACCTCGGCTTGCCTGTCCCTCCATCTACATCAAATTGAAGGAAGAAGGGGGGGGGGGGGGGACACTCCGCCCTCCCGTGACCCCTTCACCGAGAGAGAGAGTTATCTACTCATTCTTACAGCTGCCACCATTTTCTCGGTCATCAACCCTACCCTATTTTTGTATTAGCTCTTAAAAAAAAGTCGTTTAATGTCATTTAGGATTCAGTTCTTTTTATGTTCTTTCAGTGGACAGTGATAGGAAGTTTGATTGATTGAATAGTGTACTATTTGTTCAATGTCTCCCAATGAGCCTGCGCGTATGCGGGGTTGAATAATATTTTCTCTTTCCTAGTGCACAGAAGCTCTCGTCGAGTAGGACAGTAGTTTGGAGAAAAAAAGGGATTTTTTTAGAACTTTTAAAAGTACAGCAATCCTAATTATACCAGCTACTGTAAGCACTCTAATAGAACAATTCCAAACCCCCCCCCCCCCCCCACTTTTCCAGCTCGTCAACTTTGAGCTCATTTATCTAATTACCTGTGAAAGATATCAAATAGTACTCAACTGACAGAATGTTTGTCATAATATTAAAAATACTTTGTCAGCTAACCCCTTTTTAGTATCTTTCCCAGGAACCGAGATAAATTAGCTCAAAGTTCAAGTATAGAGTGAAAAACGTTCAAATCCTAACTTACCGTATTTCTTCTAGTAGAAGTGCACCCTAAACGTCTACCGTAACCACTAATGAAACATCTCCATCCCTCTTTTCTCCCCCAACCCGTCAACTTTGAGCTCAATTATCTCGGTTCCTGTGAGGGATATGAAAAATTTGTCAACTGATGAAATGTTTATCATCATATCACCAACATTTTATCAATTGACACATTTTTGATATCTCTCATAAGAATCGAGATGATTAGGATCAAAATAGACGGTTTGGGTGAGCTTCTATTAGACGATATACAATATCCATCGTTCTGTCTGTATCACCTCTTCAGAATTAAACTTATTTCAGGGTAATTTCAACAACAATAAAAAAAATCAAAACTCCTCCAATGGATTCTGTTTACCGTCTGCACAGCCCTACTATCAGTGAGGCAAGCTTCGAGTTCGTGAAAACTGAGAGCGATGTGGATTCACTTCTGCAGGTAGCTGAGAAGAGCCAGGACACTTCGGATGCCATTAGTTTGAAGAGCGATATCTCATCAAATGTTTCTGAAGATCCAGAAGTTCCTGAGTCTGATTTGAGCGTCTCGGAGGAAGAAGAGAAAAAAAGAGAGGAGATCGTCAACGATGAAACTTCTGACGACTCGGAGAAATCTCTGATTTCGACTGGAAACATCATCGGAGATTCTATGGGTCTCACTGTGGAGATTCCAGAAATCAACGAGAAACCCGTTGAAGCTGATAAGGACTGTGGTTTGATCATGGAGGTGGAAAACGTTGATGTTCCAAAAGGAGCCGAATCCCAACAAGAAGAAAAGAATCTCCAAGCTGATCCATTGGGTGTTATCGAAACTCCAATACTTCGGAATTCAAACCAGACTGCTCTGGACTATCAGAAAATGGAGCAGAAAGTAAACACTATGAGTTCTGAAATTGAAAAACTGCAAGAAAGTATAGAAAAATGTCACCAAAAGGTTTCGGAGGTATCTCAAACAATGGAGAATATGCAAGCGGAAACAAGAGAAAGAGCAAAGGTGAGAACTTGTAATAATTTATGATTCGTTGAACATTCAAATTTAAAGGGACACACTTTCATCAATGAATCGATCTGTGGAGAATGGCGTCTTCTCAACATGGAAGGAATGAACGAGGACATGAAAGCTGACGGAGTTACCTTCCCAAATCGTGTCAAGTCTCTTGTGGCCCATACCAGATTCCATTTCGATGGGTACAAACTGAGATCCCACCAGCGTCTCTTCTGCAAAGTCTTCGGCCATTCTGCAGTGTCTTATGGAAAATCAGTGGAAGGGAATATCACTTCAAACACGTTCCTCCGAGGAAATATGATGGTCACTGACTGTAAGGATGCAAGAGGAGTCACATGCGAGAGAACGGAACGTTATGTTGCGGATGGACATCTCCATATCTCGCATATCAACAGCTACGGAGAAAGAAACACATTGGTCTACGAACGGGTCAGGCCTAAAGTATCCTATCTACTCTCGATTGGAAATGTCACTCGACTTTATTGCAAATTTTGGCAGAATTGAAGGCACATCGACTTCCACGATCTCAAGAATTTCTTTTCGAACTTTTGTATCTCATTTTTCAATCTTTCTCAACTAATTACCTCAATTCTCTCATTATTGAGATTGTATTCACATTATGCTTCCAGTTATCCTATTATACTATATATCTTTCTTATCTGTGTATATTTTTTAAAAATATGAATGAACTTACAATTATTCAATACCTTTTTCTTTCCTCATACTACATTTCACGAATTTCAGGCTTACCAAGGATATTGGTCACTTTTTTCGGGGGTTTGATGGAATTTCTGGTATACCTTCGAGTACTTCCATTTAGAGACCCCTCAATTTTCTAGAAAACGAATTCCGTGAAAAAGTGGGCGGAGCCAGAAATAGAGCCTAAATTGCAAGCCTAACACGGTTTTACTTATGACCGTATGCAATTTAGGCTCCAAAGACCCCGCAAATCCCGGGGAGAGAATTTTCCGCGGAAAAGTGTGCGGAGTCGGGGGTGGAGCCAAAATTCCAACCCTGGCACGGTTTCGCCACACGGTTTCGCCACACGGTTTTTTTTGCACATTTGGACACGGTCATGAGGGGAGCCTAAATTGCAACCCTGGCACGGTTTTGCCGCAAGGTTTTTTCCGACTCCGTTCACTTTTCCCCGGAAAATTTCTTCCCCGGAATTTGCGGGGGTCTGTCTCAGGCTCGAGACCCCGCAAATTCCGGGGAGAAAATTTTCCGGGGAAAAAATTACCG